GACCTTTTGCTGCTAACCAGTACCATTCATGTGTTGCCCTCATCAAGCTTTGTGTTGAAGAATTATGTTGGTAATACCCAAATGACTGGCATATTTACCATGCTTGATGCACTGCTGACAGAGGCTGCTAATCATTATGGTGCAGTAAGCAGAAGATGTGTTTAAGAAGGCCAAAACTGCTGAGCTACATGGCTTGGCCCTGGGAATAGCAGTGGCAGTGCTATCCTGTGTAATAAGATGGCTACTCCTTCCACTTCTCTGCAAGCTGCTCTTGCCCATGCCCCTTAATGACATCCTGCCTCACTGATGTTGTGCCCCTCCTTCTCTTTTCTCCAGTCTCGGGCGCCCAGGTACAGTCTGCCACTTTTTCATCCTCGCCCTCCTCATTGCTTGATCCCACTTGGCAGCAAGCTTCAGAAACATCAATGGCAATTGCTTCTCCCGGCCTGTTGTCCCTGCCCTCTATGCTACTGGTACTCTCTTCATCCACATCTGGTAACAGGATTTCTTGTGAATCCTCCAGCATCAAGTTATTAATGGTGTGCTGCAATAATTCTGCCAACTCCTACATGCTAGATTGCTTGGATTAGTAGTAGAGAAGGAGGCAGGAGAGGAAGCTATAGCAGCTGCTAAAAACAATGTTCTGCTCTGCTCCTGGTAGGAGAAGTAGGGCAAGGAAGGCTTAGTTAGGCACTCCACAACCTCCTCCATATGCTCTTGCTATATAATATTGATTTGGGCAATTAACAATGTGGTGATTTGGTGCACTAAACGGAACAACAGTAGTATATTGTGGTATGCTTCAAACATAGAGCAGCCTTGATTGTGCCAGCAACAATTTCATTCTGCTGACCCCCCCCGCCTCCCCACCCAAATAAAATAAGACAAATCAAAAGATTTTTATATACTTGATTGCAAGTAAAAAAGAAATAGGAAAACCTAAAAGAAAAAATGAAAGGGAAAAATAAAACCCCAATAAAACAAAAGAAATATTAAGAAATTTGTGGGGGGAGCAGCAGATAAAAACAGCAACTGTTTTTGAAGACAAACTCACGCACAAAAGGTCTTTAAAAGGACTGTTTACCTGGATGCCACAGCACGAGACCAGCCTTATTGGTGTTGCCCTTTCTCCAAGCCTACTGCAAACAGGAAGACCAACACCATGTTATCCTATTGGGGGCATATGTCAGCTATCAAACTTGTTCTGTAATGTTGAAGATGTTTCACAGCCAATCCAAGCAACGTTTTTCAGTTTTAAAGGTTTTACTTAATTCTAATTAAAGGTCCATGTTATCACCGAGTTTTATTGCCATTTTCTCAATTTTTCATACCAGTTATATGCCCTAAAAATGTTTTGTGATATGTTTGTGGAGCTTCTCCATTTTACAGGTCATGGTATAGTTTGTATTAGTTAATCACATACAACTAGACTTGTTCTGTAATCTTGAAGAAGTGTTGCCACTTATCTAAGTACCATCTTTTGTTCTAAATTTTAAAACACTTTAAAATAAAGTGCCAAAAATACATGACAAATATGTTTACCTTCTCAATATACACATGCCTTGTGACATGAACAGTGTATGCAGATACCAGACTTGGGGTCTGAATAAAAATTGAAGTTACCTTGCATTTTTATATTACAATCACAAATATATACATATCTAGCATCTTATTTCATGTATTACTATTTAGGTTTTTCTTCCACTGAAATCTAATATTTTAATATTTCTCACAGATAAAATACATGCATCTTTGGTTAACCTGTCTGCAAAAGTATTTTCTCAGTCCATTAAAACAGCTTTTTTTACTGCTTTTTAATTACCTTGCAGAACCTAAAATTAAGTATCTTTCTTATTGAGCATTTAATTGGCATTTAGTAAGTTTCATTTGGCAACTTAATTAAGCAGCACTGGTAGGTTAAAAAGAATGTTATGATAATATTTCTAAACAGTAGCAGATTTGGGACCTCATAAGTTGCATTGTTTTAAAATAAATGGATGTGTTCCATAGGCAGGATTTTATGAAAATTGTAGTGTTCATGTTCAAATATAGTATTGTAATAGAATACTATATTTTAAACAAGGTGTGAATATTTTAAACATAATGGGATTGATTTACAAAAACAAATAGGCTGTTGTTTTTGCAAGGTAATTTTGACTTAGCTTAATGAATGGAGTGAAAATTTATTTTGCACAGAATACCTAATCACGTGCAAGGAAAATAAAAACAGGACAGTATTTTTGATTGCACATGATTGGATGATGGAAGTCAGCAGGGCTTTACCGCAATGCGCAGTCTATTTGCATTTAGAAAATCAACCCAATGTAGCCTTTTTAGTTATCTATTATATTCTAATGGGGCTGCCAATGCATTATTTAATCAGGTTTCATGGGTAATCAAGCTACTAATATGCTTGAGATGACAGTTGCACAGTCTGGCAGTTTTTGGTTGGATTGGGCAATAATCTCATGCCTATGGCGGGGGGAAACTCCCTCTGTCTGTTGTTTTTAGAGGAAAAAATCAATAGATCAACAGAGTTAGCAAGCTTGACTAATCCCTTTTAATGCCTCTCTGCCGCCTATTAATGCCCATGTATGATAAAACAATAGCAAACGCCCAGTACAGTTTACACATGGGCATCAGAGTTGGGGCAAAAAAATAGGGGAATAATGCCTCCATAGAAGTTTATTGAACCGCCTTTGAAATGCTCGTTCAACGCTCTCTAGAGCGTTGACAACGTAAGTGTTTCACAGGAGGTTTTGCAATAGGAGGGACCCCAAATTAAATAGTTTAAACAAAAATGTGCATGGGGTCCCTCTCCTGATCCATACCAGACCCTTTAGCTCTGGTGGGAAAGTTAGGAGGGACCCCTTTTCCCCTAAAAAGTCATATCAGGCTCTTTAGGTCTAGTAGGAATTTTAAGGGGAAACCCCACCCCAAAAAATGGGAAAAAAGAACCTGCACCCCCCCTAAAATTCCTACTAGACCCTTGATCCAAGTACAGGCCTGGCAGTGCAGGAAAGGGGGGACATGAGTGAGTGCCCCCCCTCCCTGCACCATACCAGGCCACATGCCCTCAGCACTGGGAGGGTGCTTTTCCAGGGTCCCTGGACAAGGGCCGCTTCCCCACAAGCCCTGTGGTGTTGGTTGTGGGGGTGCAGGCAGGGGGGGATTATTTGCATCAGGGTACCTCTTTAATAAAATGGCACCCAGGTGCTGCCTCTCCCTCTTGTGAATGAGTAAGGGGTACTTGTATCCCTACCCATTCACTGAAGGGTTAAATAAAATTGTAAATAAAAAGTCCAGACTTTTGAAAAATCCTTTATTTGGAAATAAAACAAAAGACATGTTTTTGACATGTCTTTTATTTAGAAAAACCCCAAAAATTGATCAACCGATGTAATCCAGGGTCAATTACGACATCCAACATTGTCCGCGACGACGACGGCTCTAAGAAATAAAAAATAAATAGAAATAATTTTTAAAAAACGACGACCGCCGTCCCATCGCTGCAACGCAGAATGGCATTTTGACAGATGCCGGTAACATATAAACATTTGGGCAGAGATAGCTGTGAATGAGTAAGGGGTACTTGTACCCCTACCCATTCACTAAAGTAAAATGTAAAAAAAAAAAAAGACCAGACTTGGAGAAAAAGTACTTTAATTGAAATAAAAACACAACCAATGATTTTTGATAAGTCTTTTAATAAAAAACAAAAATGGATCCCTCGAAGTAATCCAATGGTCAATCAAAGCGTCCAGCGTTGTCCGCGATGACGATGACTGATTGAAATGAAAAAAAGCCCAACATCCACTGACACGTCCTTACCCGACGAACACACGCCGCCAAATGTCAGCAGCCGACCAAATCAAAACAAATGGGCATAGCCGGCCGTGACATCAACCCCCAAGCTTCATCTATATGTTGAAATTTGGCCGGCTGCTGTCATCTGGCGGCGTGTGTTCGTGGGGTGAGGACAGGTCGGCGAGAGTAAGGCTTATTTTTTTATTTAGACATGTCGTTGTTAACAATGCTGGACACCGTGATTGACCATTGGATCCATTTTTGTATTACTCATTCACAAGGGGGAGCCGCATCTGGGTGCCCCTTTATTAAAGGGGTACCCTGATGCAAAAAATTCCCCCTGCCCACACCCCCACAACCAACACCACAGGGCTTGTGGAGAAGAGGCCCTTGTCCCCATCAGCACAATGACAATGTGCTATTCCAGGGGGGGACTCATATGGTGCTCACTCGTGTCCCCCCTTTCCTGCCTTGCCAGGCCTGTACTCAGATCAAGGGTCTGGTAAGAATTTTAGGGGAGCCCACATTCTTATTTCCAATTTTTTGGGTGGTGTTCCCTCTTAAAATTCCTACTAGACCTAAAGAGCCGGGTATGACTTTTAGGGGATACCCCACGTACATTTTTTTTATTTTACTCGGGGGTCCCTCCTAACTTTCCCACCAGACCTAAAGGGTCTGGTATGGATTAGGAGAGGGACCCAATGCTTTTTTTGTTTTCATTGGTTTACATTTTCTTTTTAATTTTTAATCATTATTTTATGAATGTATCATTATTTTTTGGGGCAGGGCATTTTCCAAGCATATGTGACGCTTCCCTAACGCCCTGCAAATGCCTGGCTAATGCCTTGTTAATGCTATAGGTGTGTTAATAAGCGTTGATCGTGTGGTAAATTCTCAATGCACGTGTGAAAGAACGTTCAGTTTTCAGTGCTGAATACTGAAAACTGGCCTGAACAGGAAGGTGGTTTAACACCACGGTCAGCGAGTGGTTAAATAGTTATAGTTTGTGATTAATGGTAAACTTTGGATTTACAAATTTCCCATACTTAATAATTAATCCAAATATTATTTTATTAATGTTACTCTTAGCCTGTTATGGACTTTAAGGAATTACATTATACTGTAAATACATAACCGACCAATTGAAATATTAAATACTGAATATTGATATAAATTTTTTTTTTTTTTTTTAGCTAACAGCACAAATGGTTCTGCAGATTGTCACTGAACCAGTCTTACCCTTTAATGCTTTGGATATTGCATTAGAGATTCAGAAACGCATTGAAGGTAATCCTCCAGTCTAATATGTGCTGTTGTTTCCTTACTACAATATATTGGTTTGTGTGTGGGAAAATAAAATTGCTCTATACTTAGGTTTTTTTTTTTCCTGGGCTCACTCCATAGAGGTTTGCTTGTCAGTCAATTGTTTTCCTCACATTTCAACAATTTCTTACCAGAAAACAGGAAAAGATCACCTTTAGATAAAGACTTTACTTTACACAAATGGGGAGGTGAAAAGGATTTTCTGCTTTAAAATGTAAAATTCAAAGTTAAAAAAATGCTGAAATATTAATTTGTATCTATATACTGCACTATTTTCATTCCGCAATTTGCAGGTTTTAGAGCTTTTCCCATACCAGGATACAAACATACATACAGACAGTTTCACTCCATCTCTCTTTCTCTCTGTCTCCCCTCATAATTTTCTTGAGGAATCACTGTATGTTAATGATGCTTGTGGTATATTTGCCCTTAGAAGACTTGAAGTCTTTGTCAGTTTTTTTCTTTGTGGAAGATGTTGATTACCATGTGTCATTTGAATTTCAGCTGACTGTTGTTTAATCAGCCAAAATTTTAGCTGTGGGTAGCCCTGTCAGTACCACCTCTCTCAACAAACGTCATTTTTTCAATCAACTTTCCTCACAGGAGTTGGCTGGAATATTGACTGCAAAACAGTAACTGAATCTAATCCGATGATGTCACTATTGGGTATTCCTCTTCCACAGGTCTTGTCAGCTGATGAATGCAATAGCTGGGGGATTTCTTAATTCATACTGTTCACGTTGTTCAGCATGGATGAAGGAATTGATACATTTTTCTTGTACAGCCCATAGGCCTGAATGCACAAAAGCAAGAGGTATGTGGCTAGCTTTACCCTTACTTTCTGTGTTAGTAACCACATGTGAGGGGAAAACGGAGGTTTAATACCTTCTTTACTGTATTAAAAACAAAGAAATAAAAGTTTCAGCTGGAGTGTGATGTTAAATTCTACAAAATATTATGGCACATAAGTAAGTGCAAACAATGATACCAACAGCATTCTATCGGATTTCGTCTTGGCCTCTTAAAATATGAATATTTGAATTGATACATTTCTGATTGCTATTGATTACTAGAGTTAGGGCTTCAGTCCTTGCACTGTTTATTGACCAAAGCTGGTCATACACATTAACAGTGCAATTCCCTCATCCACACAAAGCAGCATGAATGGAGGAATTTCCCCTGCCAGCTATTGTATGCTAATACCCGGCACTAATGGCAGTCAGAATACCCAAATAGTGACTGCAGCTAATTGGCTGCAGTCCCTTTTTGGCCAAAAACTTTCCACCCAGTTCCTTAAGTTTTTTTGATTGAAGTTTAATTGAAATTTGTCAATCCAGGGAGGAGCTGGCAGTGTCGCCCTGTTAAAATTGGCCAATTCATAGGAATCAGCTGAAATGTAAACAGTGTGTAGTCAGCGTAGAGTTTAACCCCTTCATGACTCAGGCCTTTTTTCCATCTTTTGCACCCATGTGATATTCCACATTTTAGGCTTGAAAATTACTTAAAACCCCCAAACATTATATATTTTCTGAATGCCAAGACCCTATAGAATAAAATGGTGGTAGTTGCAAATTTTTATGTAGCGCAATATTAGCGCAACTCCTTATTAAACCCCAAAATTTAGTGACAAATTTAATTAAATGCCCCAGAACACAATAAAATACCCATTTTTTTAATGAATATAAAAGATGAGGTTACAACGAGTAAAACTATACCCAACATGCCCAGTTTACAAATTGCGTGCGTCCGTGAAACGGCGAATAACTGCAGTACCCCCAAAAAGTCCATAGAAGACGCTTTAAAAGCCCCCACAGGTCATCAATTTAGAGATACCCCAAAATACTGGCTCTAGAATTATTGCTCTCGCTCCGGCGTGCACGGCGATACCCAACATGTGTAGCGCGTTCGTCGTTTTCATATGTAGGCGCACCCTACGCGTGTTTTTTTAAATAACAAATATATTTTTTATTATTATTAGATTTATTTTAATTTAAAAAACAGTTTTTTGTTTTTTTTTACTTTACTTTGACTGCTATCACATAGGGGGGGCTTGCAAGCCCCCCATGTGATAGCAGATGGTGGTGACAGGTACTCTTTAAGGTGATGCTGGGGGTCCAAAAAACCCCCAGTGTCACCTTTACACTAGAAATTTGCTATTGAAGTGCAGATCGCACTTCAATAGCTTATAGCTGGGCTGCAGGAGCCCAGAACTGACAGCCCAGGGACCGGAAATGATGCAATCTGCATCACTCCCGGTCCCATAGAACGGGGAGGGGATCGATGATCGACCTCCTGCCCAGCTCCCTGCGGACACCAAGGACGCCGGACCTGGGCCTGTAGGAGGGGCAACGGAGCCCAGGAAGCAGGGCGGGGGTGTCCGGCGGGGGGGGCGGCCACTTCTTCAGGACACAGAAGCGATCTGGCGACAGAGATCTGGCGCCAGAATCGCTTCTGTTGTAAAGCCGACAGTCGGCTTTACAAGTTTAAACAGAGTCCCGGTGGCAATAGCCGCCGGGAGTCTGTTTAAACATCCCCGATGCCCCGTACACTGTACGTCGTCAGTCACGAAGGGGTTACATTTTAAAATACCAACCAATACAAAGCAAAATATAATTGCAAAGATCTCATTCTTCAGACTTGATGACCACTGCTGCAGCACATTTTACCTAAAGTAGGTGACAAGAGGAGATGGTCAAGCAAAGTAAATGTCAATAACACAGATTCAGTATCAGGTGATTGAATAAAGCAAACTTTTAAACAGTCCAGAGGTGCTTCAGTGGTCAAAACTAGAGGGACATATGCAGTGCTAAACAGGTAGGGTAGAGTAGATAAGTAGCCAAGACAGGGAAGAAAATTTAGGGAGCCAATCAATCTGAACATAGCAACAAATTAGGAAAATGCTTAGAAATAAGAAGCACAGGAGCATAGAAGCGGGTACAGGAGAAGAGTAGTGATGACAATATAAGTGACCAGCAGAGAGGTAACCAGCAGACATATGAGGTGAGACCTATAAATGGATGACTAGCACTGTGTGTCATACAATAATAGATCAGTGCACACAAACTGTATTTGGATTTTACCTTACAAGATAATAGGGAAAATGGAGTAATGCAAACATTTAGGAGAAGGACTATCCACGGCTGTTTTAGCCACGATCATGTTCAGAAGCACAGGCGGAATTGCGGTGGGAAACTGCACGATCCACCCAACACGTCTGGGGTGCCATTGGAAAGTAATGGCACCCCCAGCGCGATCGCTGCACACCTGGGCGACTCCTGACCGCGCGGCAATCCGCGCAGAATCGTGCACGATTGCCGCACGGTGGGGTGTCACCTAGGTGTGCACCGGCCCTAAAGGTTCCTCAAGAACAAACAAATTAATTATATAGTGAGTCTGATTTGCTGATGTTGTGAGCTTTTTCATTGGGTTGTTGATCTCCTGCAAGAAGGAGAAATGCCTTACTCTGATTTACTAAACATCACACACAGAGGCGGCTCTAGACTTTGTGAGGCCTTAGGCGAAACTCAAAACGTGAGGCCCCAACCTACACCAATAATCAGGGCTTAAAAAATCCACTTGTCCTCTCGTCTGTGACGAGAGGACGCCGGAGCCCGACGAGTAGCTAATTACACAGTTGTAATTACACAGCCGGCCGGGAGCTTTACATTCAATCGATCGTGCGTCTCTAGAGATGCCCGATCACTTGTATAGGAGCAGGTGTCACTGCCTTGCCGGTACTGAGATCCGCTGTGCCCGATGCGGCTGGGACTGGCACAGCTGCTCTGTGACAGGAGATCAAATGGGAGTTCGGTACACAATCTCTCTTTGATCTCCTCTCAGTCCCTGAATGCAGGAAGTGATGTATATTACACCACTTCCTGCATTCAGTGTCACTCTCCAGCTACAGAAGCTGATGAAGTAGATCTCTGGGGGTCCCTAGGTGACATTAGGGGTCTTGGAGACCCCTGATGTCTCCATAAAGAGGGCCTGTCATGTAAATTGGCTATCACATAGGGGGCTTCTTAGCCCCCTATGTGATAGCAATAAAGTTGTGTAAAAAAAAAAGAAATTGCACCTATTGTGCCGCACATGTTACATATCGCTGCGAACGTCGCAGTGAGAGCAATAATTTTAGGGCCATCAATCACTTATAACATTAAACTGATGAGCGGTAAAAGCATTTTAAGGGGTAAGATGTAAGCAACGCGCAGAGGGCAGAAGTAAGGAACGCGCAGAGGGAAGATGTAAGGAACGCGCAGAGGGCAGAAGTAAGGAACGCGCAGAGGGCAGAAGTAAGGAACGCGCAGAGGGCAGAAGTAAGGAACGCGCAGAGGGCAGAAGTAAGGAACGCGCAGAGGGCAGAAGTAAGGAACGCGCAGAGGGCAGAAGTAAGGAACGCGCAGAGGGCAGAAGTAAGGAACGTGCAGAGGGCAGAAGTAAGGAACGCGCAGATGGCAGAAGTAAGGAAAGCACAGAGGGCAGAAGTAAGGATCGCACAGAGGGCAGAAGCAAAACACACAGTTCAGTAGTAAAGAACGCAATGAATCCTGCTTTCCTATCACACACTATCGGGTGGCATGGCATGTGTTATATGTGACAGCACAGAAGCATTTGCTCACTGGTATTGGGCAGCTGGATTTTTTACAATCAAAAAGAACAGATAAAAAGGAGGACAGAAGCGCTACTGCCATGGGATGACCGTAAACTGAAAAGACAAAATAAAGGCAACCATGAAGTGAGAGATGACGCGATGTCATCGACGAAAGGTGGCTAGGTCGTGATCCTTCAATAGTGTGAATGGTGTGTGCTCTCAGAAGTGTGTGAACTGATACTGAGAAAGGCGAGTAGGTGTGAGGCAGGAATGGAGGCGGGAGGCTCACATCCCGGCTTGAAAAAGAAGACTTGCTCTTCGAAACGCGTAGCCGCAACTGATCCAGCAGCACCTACGTCCAGTGCCTGCGGTC